TTGGGAGATGCAGCATACCACGATATCCTGGCTTCGGCTGGGCTTGAAATACCCCTTTTGCTGTCCTCCGCTCTTTGCATCAGTGGCTTCCTAGGTTCGGGCGAGGGCATGTGTGGAGCTGAGATGTGTGTCTTCGTGAAAGGACATGTAGAGAGAGTCGTATTGGCATTCGCATCAAGCGCATTGCTGCGCATTTTTAAAAACACAGTGCATACAGATAATACGACTTAGCAGACAGCTGGCTCGAGGGGGGGGGTCCGAGGGGGGGTTTACCCCCCCCCGGCACTCGTATGGTGACCCAGCAGACAACGCGTGCGGTGGACCAAGCATACCACCCGTGTGGTGAACCCAGCAAACCACGCGCTGGCTCTAGGGGGGGGTATTGTGACCTAGCATGCGACTACACGTGCGGTGGACTAGCCAAACCATGGCCAACAAACAGCAGTAGACTGCTGTGTGACTACATGCACAGCAGTATAGCGTACAACGGCTCGCACGTACGACCACGCATCATAGATAGGCACACACACTCACAGGTACTGCTGATGCAGGTGCACACGTTTGTAGCTGACTGAGCTGTGTGTGTGCATCTCTCCCTGTGTGTGCATCTGTATGTAGCTGCGGCAGCCAACGGGTGATTGACGTCAACCCAGCAGATCACGCGTAAGAGACCCATATGCTGTCACCTCCATTTGTGAGCGTACAACGAGCTCCACGACTAGTCTACCCATGAAAGCACCTGCAGAGGAGACTTTATCTACTGCACTTCTGGTGCTGGTCCTGGTGCTGGTGCACACGTTTGTTCGAATTTTGGCCTCCTTCCAGGGACCTTGATTTTTACCCGCTGGCACTGACGTCTTTTAATTGGTCAGCCGGTTAGCGCGGTCGATGCTAATAATAAAGACACACAGACCAGGAACGACGAAACGCGCATGCATGATGAGAAAAAACATGAACGAGGGCGGGGGGCACCGGGAACTCGGCGTTGGGAGGCGGGTATTTGAATAAATTCAATTTAAAAACAAACGAAAATCCGTTGTAAATTGTAGATTGATTGTTTACCTGGTGTCTCTCGACTGCGTAGACTGTACTCAGACTCTCTCGCTTCGTGGAGAGCACCACGTCCAAGTCTGCTTCGGCTTGTGTGTGTATGGGCCACCCGTAGCTCCTATGATCACGGCCGCCCTTCTGCTGCAGAAAAGAGTCCGGCGCAGCGAGAGAGAGATGACAGAGCCCCTTCGCTATCTGCTGTTCGAAAATGGTGCAGCTCTGGCAGTCTTCGGAGATCGTGGAGATTATCATACGAGCACACGGCAATCTCGCAACGAGCGTGGTAATTCCGCGGTGGTCTTAGAGCCATCCGGGGCATGCTTCACCCAAGTGCGCCAGGTGAGGCTGGCCATGCGCTGTTGTTGCTTCGACTGGCTGGCGGGCCTGTGAGGAACATGGGTCATCGGGATGATGACTCTCCTCTGATGTGCGGCACAATCACCCAATCAAGTCCGCACATGGCGAGGCTATGATGCATATTTACCTCCAAACGCCATGGATGGCCTTCCTTCTCAGCAACAGTAGGACTCTCGCGACTGCATTGGTGATCACTACTACCAATGACACGGTTTTACAACTGTGATGCTAGTAAGAGTCGAAATCAGGGCGTATTGCTACATGCATACACCGAATCCCAGTAGACATCGCCGACAAACAAACTGAGGGGCGCTCTCCTTGACCAGCTACATAGCTCCACAAACGAGAGAAGTGCAACCGCAGCAGCAGCGTTGCTACAAAAGTAGGCAGCACGCGTGCCAGCAGAGAGTGTTGCCTGGCGCTCAAGTGCTTCAGTCCCGATCAATCGTGTTCACTTCCAGATTGACGTTGCTTGTTCGACAGACAGACACCCAGCGTGTGAATGCTTCTCATGAGACGCCATGGTTGCGTAACATTCCATTCCCCCTACCCTACAAAATATCGCATCTGGACATCTCGACTAGATAGTACAGGGTTTGCCGATAACCAATGACGCACGTTTGGCAATACCTTGCCCGAATGTTTCCGACGGTGCTTGTTTAGGCGGTCCATTCATGCCATGTCGGGCTTACAGTCAACCAAGTGCAATACAGGTTTTGTGTTGATGCCTCGTCATGAAGTACACAATTAGACTAAATAGCAGCGTGAGATATTGCGGCGATGAGTGGCGTCTAGCGTTTTCAACAACTTGTCCCAAAACCGCGCTTGGCCCACACCCTTTTGTCCCCTGATACCCTCCACACGCCACGCGCCCACCCGTCCCATTTCAGGATGGAACCTGCCACCGTCAGCTCTCGGACTTCTGCAGGCGGGACCTCATCCCGCACGTGGCCGCTGCTTCCAGCTTCAGGAACGCCCACAGCCCCCGCCCTTACCTCTCGCAAAGAATACATGCGACGCTCGAGCAGGGACCACACAACAGTAGTAACAGCAGCAGCAACAACAGCAGGCGGAGGAGGAGGAGGAGGACGCCGAGTCGCATCGCTCACTGGCCAGCCGCCGCGGAGCCAACCTGCTGCCATAGTAGTAGCAACAGCAGCAGCACCTTTGTCGTTCGTGGCGCGGACGGGCGCGTCGAGGTCCGCGCCGCCGGCGGCAACGCCAGGCTCACCCTCTCCGCCTCCGGCACGGTCGCGGAGGTCGACTACGCCGTCGCTCTCCCTCCGGGCCCTGGGGCCGCCGCCACCGCCGCCCCCGCGGGACTAATGCCTCCAGCGGCGGCGGCGGCGGCGACGGCGGCGTGGAGGGAAGGAGAATATGAGAATAAGGGCGGAGGTGGTTCCAGCAGTCGGGGGCGAACCCGGGGACAGCAGCAGGAAAACCCGGGGGCAGCGGAAGGACGGGTGGCGGCGAATCGATCGTCTCGCGTTGACGGCGAAGGCTTCGGCGGCGGCGGCGGCGGCGGCAGCAGAAGGGTGTGGGTCACCCGGCGGTTTTTGGTCGGCCGGTCGGCGGCGCCGCCTTTCGACGACGTGCCCCCCGAGTTCTCGCACGCGCTCTCTGTCGCGGTACGGGAGTCGCAATCCGCCGCCGCCACCGCCGCCGCAGCGGTTGAAACGGGTAGAAATAGTGTTGGTGGTGGTGGTGATTTTTCTTTGGGGCGCGTGGGTCCGGCGGCGGCGGCGGTGGCGGCGGCTGGGGGCACCGTGAGTAGAAAGGGCGGGGAGGGGGGGCTGGTGGCGGTTGAGCTGCCGCTGCCGGAGGAACGGCCAGATCACGCCAGGTGAGGCTGGGTTTTAGAGTGTTAGAGGTGCTTGCCTTGTGCTCGCGCGCAGACCGCAAGCTGAGCTGGTTGAGAAAGCGACTTCCTTGTGTTTTTCGTGGGCACACCTTCGAAATCGTCAGCGGGATTTGGCACGAGGAAAGTGTTGGAAAGGTTTTTTTTTGTGTGTTGCGTGAATCATACGGCCATCATACAAGTTGAACACGGGTGTGTGCGGATGTAAAAGAGCCTTCCCTGAGAATTAAGGAGCTCCCAACGCGTGGTGATGCCTCGAATATGGGCAACCAATGAACGAATGACCCCGTCACCAATGTGTGCCTCTCCGAGCTCGGGCTGCTTTTCCCCTGCCCATTCGCCCCCCCTGCCCAACAGTTGGGACACGCTTCACCAAGGGCCTAGCCTCGACAGCCACCGGGACCCCCTCGCACCGCTGGGGTACTACGGCGACCGGCGGCGGTGCGACAGTGCCGCCCCGACTTTCGCCGCCCGCTCCGCTACCGGTAGTGCTTCTGCTGCCGCAGCCGGTGGTCGTCTTCTATCCGTGGACGTCATGGAGCTCGCGGAAGGCCAAGGGTACGCGGGGGAGCTGGCCATTGTGGTGGAGTCGACGGGGGGCTGCACGTACCGGATTGTGGTCGGTGATGGAGGGCATCATCGTCGGGCGGGAGAGGGCGGCGTTGGCGTACACGTGAGTAGCCTTTGTTTCTGTTGGGGTGCGTGAGGTGCGGTCGCCGCGGTGGTGTGCAAAAGTGACGCACGAACTGCGGTCGTCGAGGAGGTCGACGAGGCTCTCGGTGACGTGTCTCAAGAGGGCCTCACAGCAACCTACACTATGGCTGGAAATACTCTTCAACAACGATCTGTTTTTACAGCAAATACATACCCTTCTTCGGCAACGATCTAGACATCACGGCAGCAAGGACTCTTCCTTCACAACAATCTACTCTGTTGCAGCTAAGACTCTTGTTCATGAGTAAAGGAATGCCTGTCCCATCCTCTCTTCCCCCCAAACATGATCAAACCATCCGCTTACATTTGCGAGAGCCTTTTTTTTTCTGTCCTTTCCCCCACCGCTGCGTACCCTGGGCCGGCGAATACCCGTCGTATCGCTCCGTCCCGGCGTCGCCGGTCTTGAGACTGCGGCATGTGTCTACATGAGTGCATCCCCCGCCCATATTTATTTGCTCCGCCCTCTCGAGGACGCGTGATCAATGGTCTAGCCGCTAAGGCATGCAAAACATAAGCGTACGCCCCCCCCACCCCCTTCCCTCCCAAAATCGCAGGTTGTCGTCCATGCCGACGGGAGCGAGGTTTGGCTGGAGGGCGGCTTCGTCCGCCTGGTTCGCCCTCCCGCCGCCGCGGCTCAACAACCGCCAAGGCCACAGCGGCAGCAGCAGCAGCAGCAGCAGCGACTCTTTCACGTGTCGGCGGCGAGCACGGTCCGCTTTCGAGTGCCGAGCCCGCGTGCGGAGCAGCACCCGATCGGTCGCCCGGCTGCCGCCGCTGTTGCTGCCGCGAGCGCTTTAGGCGCTCCTGGCATCCATCAGGGTGTGCGGGCGACGGAAGCAGCGGCGGCTGAAGCAGGTGGTGGGTGGACGAGCATGTCCCTCGGCGCCATCACCTCTAGAGCCATCGCGCTGCGGCAGCAGTTCTTGCGGTGTAGCGGTATCGCGGCGACGGCGGCGGCGGCCGGGATAAGGGGGGCGGGAGACCACCGAGACATCGTCAAGATCAGGCCGCCGCGCGTCGTTGTACAACCGCCGGCGGCGCTTTCTTCGCCGTCATCGTCGTCATCGCCGGTTGAGGCCGTCGCGGGGAACGCTGCCGCGCCACGACCCACCACCAAACCCTACGCCCCGCCGGAAGCAGGAGGGGCTCGGTGGCTGGGATCACCTTCATCGCGAGGAGGGACAGCGGCAGGTTCACCATCGGTGGTGGAATTGGTGGAACGCGGGGGCGCGTCCTTCGTTGCGTTCGCGGACGGCCGGGCGCGGGGGGCCTTCGCGGACCGCACCATCGTGTCCCTGGGAGCGCCGGTTTTTTACCGCCCGCTTCGAGGGTCCCGCTGCGGCGGCGGCGGCGGCGGCGGAGGCGGTGGCAGGGGAATATCCTACTACGGCAGCGGAGGGCCTAAGGGTGTCGCGACAGCGGTAGTCCGACCTGGATGTTCGGACGTCGACGAGGAGGAGAAAGAAGAAGAAGACCGGGAGATCGAGTGCATCCGTGCGGATGGGACGGTGCTGCGCCTGACCAGGCACTCGCTGGACCGGCGAGGAAGCTTCGGCGGGAGGAGCGGCGGGGGCAACAGTCCCGCCAGTGGTAACTGCGGCGTTGGGGCGCTCAGGCCGTACGTCGTCGCTGTCCTCCGGTTCGCGGACTGGGCGGCGACCCATCCCGCGGACCGGCGGGCTGCGGCGGGGCGAGAGGCGGCCGGGCGGGCAGCGGCGGCGGCCGAAGCGGAGCGAAACCGTCGCTTCGTCGACCTCCAGCTGTTAGCGGCGAAGAGGAGCGTCGCGCCACCTCCCCTCTTGTGCTACCACCGCGGCGGGCCGGATCAACGGCAACCCTACGATGGGAGTCCGTCCGGCGCGGCCGGGAGCAGGCGAGGCGGCCGCAGAAGCGGGGATGAAGCGAACGCGTCCCCGGGTTTGTGGCGGCGTGCGGTTGGGGTTGGGGGTGAAGAGAACAACGACGACCAGGACAAGGAAAACAGCAGGCCGAGGCGGCCGAGCAACCGTGTTGATGTGCTAGAGGGGAGTTCCGGGGTATCGAAGTGGGGGGGTGGCGACGGGGGTCGTCAGAGGAACTCGCTCGTGGCTGGATTGTTAGAGGCCAACCGCAAGGTCTTGATGGGAGAAGACTTGTCGAGGAAGTTTCCTCCAGAAAAACTGTAGTTGTAGGGTCGTTCGTGCACGTTTGTTTGGATGTGCGGACAAATGCAACCGAAGCAAACAAACAAGCGAGAAGGAGTTAATTCAATGGGGGTAGGGGCGTTTTTTCTCTTTGGCAGCGCGGCGGGTGGAGGCCTTGCTTGTGTTGCCAGGCGGGGAATCGACGAGCTTATCGGGAAACTTGTCATTGCTGATGATAATGCAGTATAATAGGGTGTTGCGGTTCATATCAACGCATCGCCAATGCCTTCAAGGTTTGGTTTCCATCCTTACCTTCTAGCTTTGAACTCATTTTTTTTTCATTTTTCATTCATTTCGCTGGGAGATGTAGAGGCAATATTAATTTCTTCGGGGGGCAAACGCCCTCTCCAGCGACGCTCTGTAGCCGCGCAAAAATCGCCAGAGTTCCGGGGTATCTAACTCAAGGCGCGGACAGAATGCTATCCCTTGGCACACACGCCCACTCACTTTTCGTTACAGACGGGGCGAAAAAGTCCTCTCTCAACTGCAAAAACAACGAATGGCCCTGGTGCTAGGTGTCAATCAGTGCAGCCCGGCTTCTTCTGTGTGTGTAGGGATGAACAGTTCTACGAATCTCACGCTGCCACTGCTGTGGCAAATTTTAACAATCCATACAACCTCAAGTAATGAAGCAATTTTCAACTTTTAGGAGTTAGGAGACGAACGCCTTGGGGAGTTCTACATGACCATTTGAGGCAGGGGGGGGTTCTAGTCTATATCCTCTGGCCGAACAAAGCCGTCCACGTCGTGACTTTTGGCTTCTCGTTGCTCAGCGCATCCACCAAAGGTGGAGGCTGTTCAGCAATCCAAATCTTGTTTAGCCATGCCCCGGGCGGCTTCTTGTGTGCATCGGACGAATGGATTAGCAACAAATCGCAGAAGAGTCAAGTCCGCACGAACAACGTCTCGCGTGGGCACTATTCTACTATCAGGTTCTAAATAGCCTCCCCCAATAAAGCATGCTAATAACAGCAAGAGTATCCCCTTGCGCTAAGCGACCACTTTCGTTCGGCAGAGCAGTGACTTTCCGCACGTATGCGCGGAAATCCCAGTTCACGGAATTCACAAGCGCAAGAGGGCTTGGACGAGACCGGTTGAGAGGGCCACCCCACGTCTGGAAACACGTAAACCTTTGCACGTGTGACGAGGTATGCCACATAAACCTTCATGACCACTTACACCCTTACAACTGCGACGGCACGGCTGGGCCACTTGCTCTTGCCATCCCCTCCTGCTCTCGTGGGCCCCCGACAGGGGATGAAAAAATACACGAAAAACAATTTATACCACGTACGTACCATATACAAAGCAGCAGCGCATCGTACACGCGCAGCAAAGACACAAAAGAAAGCGTGACAAAAGAGTTGCCGGTAAAATCTCCTCAAGAACCACAATCAACAAAACAAGGCAAGACCCCGGCGACGGGTACAATCAGCATACGCTCTCTCCTCTGCCGCAGGCACCTTCGCAAGCATCGGCGAAACCATCGATCCAGTCGACACGACGGGCCGGGGGCCCGCGGATGGCCGTATGGCGGGGGGTGGGGGGGGGCAGGGCACTTCCCTGGGATCCACGCGCTGAAATGCTGGCTAGGCATGGTTGAGGGGGGTCTGGGTGGCACCGAGGAATCAAATCACCTACTACCCCCCTCCTTGGCGGCGGGNTCGAGTCACTGCTCCCGGTGCCGCCGCCTTGCGCTGCTGCAGACAGAGGCGGCAACTGCTGGCTTCGATGGTGATGCTCAGCCTGCTGCTGCTGCTGCTGCTGCTGGAAGTGCTGGTGTTGTTGATGCGGAGACTCCTGCTGTGAGTGGCCACGCGGCGTCGGGGGGAACGCAACCTGGGGGTGGGCGAGAGGTAGCGGCAGCTGCGGCTGGGGCAGGGGCTGGTGTCGTGGGTGATGCTGCTGCGGCAGCGGCGACAATTGCCCCAGCCGTCCCGGCGTCCCCACCCCGCCGCCGGCTTCCTCGACCGCACGACTACCGCCGGTATCGGTCGCCGCCGCCACCACTGCCGCGGAGGCGGGTCTTCGCTGCTGTTCCTCGTCGTCGGCAACCTCCCCTCTGCTAGCTCCTCTCTCGAAGCCGCCATTTCCCCCTCGATCTACAGCCTCCCCTCCTCCTTCAACTGTCGCCACTCCATTCTGGCGCTGCTGCATCTCAGAAGGCGGCGGCGCCGGTGACCCCGTGGGGGGGATTGCCGATGAAGCAGGAGGCTGCGGCGTCCCTGCTGCCGCCGCCGCCGCCGCCGCTGCTGTTATCGCTGACGCGGCGGCGGCGGCAGCCGCCGCCATGGCGCTCCCGCCATCACTCGCCGCCCCGCTGACCGTTGTCACTTCCGCCGGTTGGCCGTCCGCGGCCGTAGTCTGGTGAGGAACGGCGACCGTCGATTTCGGCGTGCCATTGGCCGTAGCGGGCCGGGCTCGGCGGAGGCGCTGCGAATGCTCCGCCTTTACCATCCCTTCCACCTGTGGTTTGCGGTGAGGGGGTACAGGCGCAGAAAAAAAGTTATGTTCGACGCTCGCCCGTTTACGTTCTGCCCCATCGATGCGAAGCCCCCCCCGTCAACCTCTCCAAGCACAGCGTCGGCGTCATTGCACACCGGGAGGAATCAACATAACACACATAACACCCACCGGACGACGGCGAGAAATAGTCCCAATGCGACAGTGACCGTGGGAACATGTAGCAGCAGCAGCAGCAGCAGCAGCAGCACTGGTGTGTGGTACGCAGCAAGAATGCAGCAGCAACACTGTACCAGCAACGATGCCGACGACAACAGCAACGCAATCAAAAACGGGCGGGAAACGACACCCCACCCCCCCCTAGAATAACTGTGCGCTCTTTCGAGGACGCGTGGTCAATGGTCTAACCGCCAAGGCATGCAATACACAAGAGTACCCCTCCCCCCCCCCCCCCCCCCCCCCCCCCCCCCCCCCCCCCC